CGGGGCGGGCCGGGCCGGCCTCCACCGGCGGGGGGGCGCCTCCACGGAGGGCTGCCGCGCACATCCTCCTTTCTCTCGCCCGCCGACCCGGGCAGGCGACGCGCGCCGGCGCCTTCGCACAATGTGGTGCGCGCCGCGCCGTGCCAACGCGCCCCTCCCCTGCCCTCCATCCCCGCCGCGGTCCGGTCCGGTCCGGTCCCCGGACGCGGCGAGAGGGCGCCGCAGCGCGCGTGCCCGTGCTCGCCCCCTCCCCTCCCCTCCCCTCCCCTCCGCGCGCGCCCTGCGGCGGGCGCTCCTCCGCCTTCCCGGGGGAGGCAGCTCGCACGCCCCGCCGCTGCCGCGCGACAAAGGCCGCCCCCGCCCTCGCTGGGCTGGGCTGGGCTGGGCTCGGCTCCCCTCCCGGCTCGGCTGCGCCTGGCGCGTGTCGGCGAGCATGTGCAGAGTGCTTTCCCCTCGGTGCTCGGCCGCCATGATTCTGTGGCCCGGCTTTCAGATCCGGCAAAGTAGGAACAAGCCGCCCTTTGCAGCACGGTTGGTGTCCCAGCGGCTCAGGTCACCCCACCGATGCGTGCCGGACATCACCTCCCATTGTCCCCATCCAGCATAGGTTACCCCATCTGCTGGGCACCTGGTTGGGGAAATACCCGTTTTTTTCCTCCGGCAAGGCGGGCTTAGCTAGCCAAGTGGCCCAAGGTCGGCTAGAGACACCTCCCCAGCCCGCTACCCTCCCAGTGGGGTGGATGCGAACCCCATTTTCCGCAGCCTTGAGCACATCTGAAGAGCCCTGCTGGAGCAGAAGCCCAGTGTCCGGGCAGGCGGGCAACAGCACCTTCCCACCCATGCTCCCCAGCATGTGCTGTACCCAGGCGTGCTTCCTCTGGTACTGGAAATGGCACACAATCATCAGGAGTAGCAACCCTTGTGCGCCTTCTCCGCCAGGAATTTAAATTCTCTTTTAAAGCCGTTTAGATTGGTGGCCCTTACCTGGTGGTGGTCGATGGGGGTCTGATAGACACGGGGAGCGCTTTTGGGCAGCCTTAACCCGGAGGTGTTCCAGCCCAGCGAGTGGGCAGAAGCTGGAGCCCTCCAGATTTGAGAGTTGGGCATTCCCACGGGGCAGGGGCTCAGGAATGCCCGGAACACCTGGAGCTCTGGCTTCTGCCCTTCCCTGGTCCAGAGGAATTTCTCAGGAAGGGGATCCAGGTTTGACTCTGCAGCATCCTTTTTAAAGGCAGTGATGCACCGCTCGGTTGAAGTTCCCATAATTGCGAGATGTGGATTAATTAGCACCCTTGAGCATTTGGAGAAAATCTAAGGCAGAGTCAGTCTCTTCTGCCTTGCATTTTGGGGAGCCGATCTACCGTGCTGCCTGTGGTCCGGGTGATCTTTGTTGCATGAGCGGCCTTGGATTTTTGCTTTACAGGCCCTGAGCAGCCGATGGGGATGTATTGATATTTCACACCAAATAGAGATTCACAATTTAAGAGACCGGATCCTTTAAAGGCACAGAGAGAGAGAGAGAGAGAGAGAGAGACTGACTTCAGAGCATCTGGCCATAGTTACAGGTCTGGACCTGAGCCCCGATTCTTTTTGGTCCTTAGCACCAAGCAGAGCAAGCCACTTCCCACCAGTCCAGACTTTCCCCACCTGGCTCAGAATTGCGTATTCCCAACAGACAATGTCTCTCCAGTTCTCTAGCAGAAGAGGCCTTGCGATTTAGTCCCCGAGCTTATTCTGTCTTCCTTTTCGTCCCGGCTCACAGCACCCCGCTCACAGCATGCACTCGATGTGTCGAGCGATCTTGTGAACGTGTAAAGAGGTGTTCTGAGTTTAAAGGTTTTTCAGGCGTGCCGCTTTGCCCTCTCCAGAGGTCCGTCAGAGGGCGAGTGTGGAAAGAGCACTAGGGTGGCAGTTCTCCTTGGCTAAAATTAATCAAAGCTCTCTGTTGTTCTTGTGTGCCATCAAGTCATCTCCGACTTATGGTGACCCTGGGCCTGAAAGCTGTCCAAAATGTCACATCCAGGACAGCCGCCTTGGCTCGTTTGAATCCAAGGTCGTGGCTTCCGCGATGCAGTCCACCCATCTCTTGTTTGGCCTTCTTTTTCTGCCTTCAGCTTTCCGTAGCGTGGCTGTCTTCTCCAGGGTCTCCTCCCTTCTTGTGATGCGCCCAAAGTACAACCGCCGTCAGTTTTGTCATTTTTGCTTCCAGGGAAAACTCTGGCTTGATTGGATCCGGGGCCCCTTGTTTGTCTTTCTGTATTTCTAAAGCTCTCCTCCAGTGCTGTGTTTCAAATGCTGAGAATTCCCTGGGCTACCTGTAAAAATAAAAACAATAATCCAGTATTGTATATCATATAAAACTGCTTGCATTTAAGATGGAAGCAAACAACACATACTTAGACATACAAACAGTTCCAGACGGCAGCTATAAGAAATCCCACAACCTACTTAAAAACCTTATGTTGTGCTGTTAAATGCCGGGGAGTAGAGAAAGGTTTAACCTGGTGCTGCAGAGATGCTTGTGCCAGATGGGGAGATATGTTGCCATAATCAACAGGCCCTCTGGCTTCTTGCCCTTGGGGGAGGGCCTTGACCCATTTCAGTGGGTCCTGTCCTGGAAAATTGCCTAGTTCACTGTGCAGAATGAAGTCCACTGAGATGAACATGTGTCCAGCGCCAGTTCTTTTTCCGCAAGCAGCAATGCTTTTCCTGGCTTTGCGCCTCTTCCCTGCCCTTCTAAAGGGCTGAAACACCTTCTCTAGGGTTTAGCTACCTGTAGTAAACGCCGTGAGCTAAACAGGGTCGGTATTTTTGTATTTGCTCCTGCTGCTTTTTGCCCTGGGTCTCATTCAGCGCTCCCTGAAAGACTTGGCACCTGTGTGTTGCTCACAGCCTTGGCAATGTGTGAGGAGCTTTTCCAAAGGTGGTTCAAAGGACTGCGTGAGGCTTCAGAATCCCTGTGCAAGCAATTAAAAGCTCCTCGTTTCAGGGTTTGTGCATCGGGACAAGATGCCCGGGCACACCGAAACGAAGAAGGGAGATCTCTCCTTCTGCAAAGTTAGTTTTGTAAGAGTTGCAGGGGAGCATTTAGGTATCAGCTGTCACCTTTTGCTCTGCAGGAAGTTCAGAGCGAGCGAGTGAGCACATCCCACCAGCGCTCTGTCGAGTCCCGCTAAGTCGTGAGCTCCACCACCACATTTCTGTTGCGGCCAGCGCTTCGTTCTTGTTCAGGGTTTTCTCTTTTAAGGTCGTGACAACCCATCCTGTCCTTTGGGGGAGGATGACAGCATCCCCTAGGCCTGCCTAAATACACTGTTGGATCCCATTCTTGAAAAATGGGCCTCTGTGTATTTCAGGGCTTGGCCCTTTGGATAAGTCAAAAGCCCTTTTAGAAAAGCGGCTGTTCAGTTTGCAGTTATGGGGCGTGCCAGGACTTCTGGGTTGTCTTTCGCAGTCCTTGGGAAAGAAGTGTTTAAATGTTTGTTATGAAAAATAGCCCACCTCCCCAAGGGCTCGTGCCATGGGGAGGGGGCAGTCATAGGGGAAGATGGAGCTTGTAGGCCATGGAGGCCAAAACAAACTCCATTCCCAAGGATGGGGGAAAGAAAACCAGGAGTTCTATTATTAGTGCTATCATTTTTATTACGTTACATTTCTATCCCATTTGTCTTCCTTGTGAGGGGGCCATGTTGTCCTACAAGGCTTCCCCACTCTCCATTTTATCCTCACAACAACCCTGTGAGGTAGGCTAGGCTGGTCTTCTGCTCAGGAGCAGCAGGGGGTGAATTTCCCCTCCAGTGTGGCAGCTATTTGGGATTTGATTTTCACACCTCCCTGTCCTTCAGCCTTCTCCAGGTTAAGCATTCCCAGGTCCTTCCATCTTTGCTTTCTGGACCTTCTGGTCGTCTTCTCAGCCTTCCCTTGGGGAAGAGCGAGGCAGTACGATGGGGTGTTTGAACCCACGTGCCCTGGATCCTTTTGAGGTGCAGCAACTCTGAATGCTTCCCAGGATGGCTGAAAGCATCCTTTTAGGTCTGCAGGGGCTCTGCAAGCGTGTGAGAAAGGCACCTGGGGGCGAAACCGTTTTCACCCAGCCAGTGGTCTGCATGCATCAGTGTCTTTAATTCAGAGTGAATTCATGTTTTGCAAGAGGAAGTGGCGTTAGCCAAATTGCTTCTCTCATCTGTCTTTTCTGCATACGGGTCGCTCTTCATGGGTTGTTCGTGGAAGGTCGTGGCTTTGTTAGACCGTCTGGGCTCTGGCAACACGAAAATTACCTTCAGACAATGCCCATCAATTGTCGGTTATTATCTGAAGCCAGAGGATGCTTCTCTCTCCTCTGCCCCATATTTCTGGGACCTGGGTGCAGCCTTACTTGTGGGCAAGTCACGTCAAACAGGGCAGCGGCGGATGCTGGCGCTCCGGAAGTTCGGATGCAGAGATGCAGCCGAGCGATGGGCGCAAACGCTTCCGCCACCTGCTTTTTCTTCCACGGTTCCGCCACCTCCCCAGTCCCTGCGCTTCGGTCTCAGCAGCATGACGTTTGCTGGGGTTCCCCATCCTTCCCCGCTTCCTGATTCCGAAGGGCACGGTTTTCCACTGATGCGCATTTCAGAAGGGAGAAGCTGAATCAGATGTTGGCCACGGTGGGAAAAATGAATATTGTGAACGAGATAAATTTAACCTTTGCAGCTTGGCCGAATTCTGTGGCTCCCCTCGCTGACGCCAGCTTGCCGCCGTTTTCTGATGTGAAAACAGAAGAGGACTGGGTTGGCGTGACTTCCCATGTCCAGTTTGAGTCGCAGCTGTTGGCGTCTCCCGCAAAAGCACTTGCTCTGCATGGCATGTAGACCCGCAGCATTGCCCCATGGTACCCAGCACTGCTCGCTCTGGCTGGCAGCAGGGCGTTGTGTGGAGAAAGGCGTTTCAGGCCACCCACAAGCTGAACCTTCTCTTAACCAAGGATGCCAAAGTCGATCCGGGGAGCTCCACGTGCCACTCGCTGCCGTGGTCCATCTAGTCCAGTTCTGTCGACACAGACAGGCAGCCCTTCCCTTGAAACTCTCTTCTGCAGCTGCGGCTACTTGTGCATCAAGCTCTGTTGTGTCTGCTCTGACTGGCAGCAGCATTCCAGGGACTTTCTCTGTCCAAGAGCCTTTAAGGGGGAGGTGAGCAAAGAATGAACTGGGAACTGCCTGCGTGCAACGTTTTGAGCTCTGCCACTCGGCTGTTTCGGGACATCAGAAGCTGCCTTGCACAGCATCTGTGTGGACTGTGGACACGGATTGGCAGCAGCCCTTTCCCAACATTTCTGGCTGGGTATTTTCCTTGCCTACCTGGAGAATCCTGGGGATTGAATTGGGCACCTTCTGCAAGCCACACGGGTGCTGCTACTGAGCCACGTGGCCCACCAGTTCCGGAAGAGGCGCGAGTCCACATAAAAAGCCCGCCTTTCTTCAGGACAATCGTTTAAGAATATGGCGTTCCCTTGGGGCGGAAGTGACCTGGCGTATGAGCAGCCAGAACCTGTGGTGCAGAGGGCAGAAAAGGGTGGTCATAGCCCGGCTCGCTTGAGCCGCGAGATCAAGACGGCCGCTGGCGGAGAATCCGGAGCTCTTTTCCCAAGCCAGGACGCGGAACGACTTCCTGACCAAGATTCCCTTTCGGGAAGCCCCCAGGGCCACATTGCAGCGGTAGGTGGGGCCGGCCCGAAGGGCTGCCCCCTTGTCGCCTCGGGCGCCGGAGCTTTCGGGACGGGGCTGCGTGTCTCCCGCGTGGAACAAACTGTGCCAGAGCGGGCACTGAGCAAACGGACGGCCCTTTTCTCAATGCCGCCCTGTCCACACAGCGAGGCCTGCCGGGGTCTGACGCAGCCCAAAAGGCACTCGGTGCCCTTTCCCTGCCCCTCCGCCCCCACCCTGGCAGAAGGAGAAAGCCCCCATTCATCTGGAGATCCAGCTGCCGGGGGGGGGGGCGGGATTGCGTTGCTGGAGCAGGCCAAGCGGCAGTGGGAATTCGGATGCGGAGCAGAGGGAGCGGGCCCTGGCCGTGTCCCTTCCGCCACCCTTTGGCCCCTTCTCACTCGGCTTGGGCTGCAAGAGGGGAAGTGTGCCGCGGGCGCCCAGAAATCCGCACATCGGGAGGCGTGGGAGCCAGACAGCCAGTGCGCGGGCGGCGTGGTCCGGCTGGCCGCCCTCCGTGGACCGGGGCCCGCGTGGGCCGCCTCCTCGCGGGGCGTCGCACGGCGGGCTCTTTCTGTGCGGTGCTGGAGGGAACAGGGAAGCGGAAGAGCGGCTTGCATGCGCGCTTGGGGGGGCAGGTTCTCCTTCCGCTTGCGCCACGCTTCCTGCGCAAGAGGAAGCGGCTTGCTGCGTCTGACCACCTAAGAGGCTGGCTCTCTGGCCGGGTAGGGGGCACGATGAGGGTCCTGAGCGGGGCGATTTCGGGGCTGGGGGGCGGCCGGGCGTTTCCTGGCGTTCGGGACTTTGGGAGGGCTGTGGAAATGAGCCCGCCTTGCCGGAGAAGCACGGCCAGGATGCTCATCCGCGGGGCGCTTGGATGCCCTCCCCACAAATCCCCTTTATCGTGTCCTCTGGCGTTCTCTCCCTTCCTGTTTCCTGCCCCCCCCCCCCCGCCCCCAGCAGTTCAGCGTGGTTCGCTTTCTGTTGTCATCAACATCTTTGTCTTTCTATCCATGGAGCTCTTTTCCTGCCCCTGAATGGGCAGTGCCGTGTCTAATGACAACTTCCTTCCTCGGGGAACAAGACCTTCCGTTCCCTCCGCACGTAATGGCTGGCCGAAGGCGGCTGCTCCCCCCCCCCGCCCCCGGGGCCGGTCTGCAGGGCTGCCCCAAGGAGCTCCATCCATGCCGGGAGCCGCGGAAAACCTTCCTGCCCCCTGCATTTCCCCTGGGATAATTCCCTGCCGGTGGGTGGGTCCGGCTGGCAGGGGGCAGTTGTGGCACGCAGCTTGGCTCGCTGACTGAACCTGCCTGGGGCTCTTCGCCGGTTCTGCGAGGCGTCTCTGGGTCGGAGTCCGGGATGGAGCAGGGAGGACGTGGGCTGGTGGAGCAGCCACCCTGCTGTGCTGGGGGTCCTCCCAGGCTTGTCCGTGCGGAGGTGTTCTGCCTGAGCTGGGGACCGACGGGGACCTGAACTCTTTCCCCGGCCCTGTGACGGAGGTGCAGAGCCTCTCCCGCTCCGGGGGCCGGATGCCATTTCTGCTGGGTGGCCTCTGTCACGAGGCGTTAGGGGAGGCATTCCAGTCCTTCCAGCGGGGGAAGGAATGGCACCAAAGTGGGGCAAGCGTGAAGGGGCAGCTCGCTGGGGAGGGGGCCCAGGCCAGCCCGGGCTCTCGGGTGGCTGGATTTGTCCCCGGGGCTGGTGGGGGGTGCTGCTCTTGCTTCCATCGGCCTGGAATTCTTCACGCGTTAGGAGATGCAAGCGGAGCCAGCCGAGGACGAGAAATGGACTTTGCCCCAGATCCTGCCCGGCTGATGTCCTGCTAAGGGTTAGGGTTTGGGGAGCGAGCCCCGACCGTGTCTTTGCCCACCCTCCGGGTGTTGTGGTGGGAGAGGAGGACGCTGCTCAGAGGGCAGGAGGTGCATTTCGGCAGGAACAGCGGATCAGGGCCCCGCAACAGGAAGAGGAAAACTCAGAGGAAGGGAGAAGGGCTTTGGACCAGCGTGTGGGAGCCTCAGCTTAGGTCTGTTCTGTCCGGGGTGGGGCTTGTGCCCCCAGAATGCTCTGGCCTGCAACTCCCATCAGCCCTGGCTAGCATGGCCAATGGGGAAGATTCATGGGAGCTGTATTCCGATGCATCTGGAGATCCGCGCATTGGTTCTGGCAGAGGAAAGCGCGTCCCGTCCGTTTCCTGCTCTGCAGAAGCAGCACTGCGTCCTATGGGGTATTTTGGTGACTTTCTCGAAACCGGCGTCCTTCAGATATGCTTGCTGACAACTCCCTATCATTCCTATCGAGCATGTCCCTGCTGGGGATAATGGGAGCTGCAGTCCAGCCTCTCTGGAAGGAGGGAAGTTGGCACATGTTAGAGGTGTCTATCAGGAGGGAAGGGGAGATTTTCCCCCTAATCTTATGGCCGCGTTCTCGCTGCAGCTCTAATCCCCTGCACAAGCACGCTTGATGTACAGCCGTTCAGGATTTGAGGATGCCGTTCTGGCTTCTTTCTCCCCTTGCCCTCTCGAGGATGCTTTTTAGTTTCTCCACGTCGCAGAAGCTCCCCTTTAGGCAGCTAGGCAGTCCTCCTTTTTGTAAAATTCTTCTTTTGAATGGATTTCGGGATTCTCAAGGAGCCTGTCCTGCTCTCCTCGTAGACTGTCGGGTGACATGGCAAGGCTGGAACTTCATGAATGTTGCGCGAGAGAGATAAAAGGCCGCAGAAGCAAATGCACGCTCTGTTTCTCACTTGGCTTACCGACGTGGAAAAAGCGAAAACCGATCTCACTTGTGAAACTTGCGTATTGGCACGACGTTCTCTCTCTGCACCCACACAGAGGTGTGATGCTCACCCCGCCGTCGCCCCATCCTTTGCCTTCAGTGCCTCGAGTTGTTTCTGGGTTTTTTCCCCGTGCATAACGAATTTCCTCTTTTAGAATAGCATTAAGCCAAAAACCTTTTCCATGCAAAAATGCGTCTCAGGTCCCCGATTGAGAGTGTGCCAGCAAGCCAAAACTATGCCCCGAGCCAGCGATTCAGCCTCCCTCCTCGTTTTTGTAGTAAACCTGCTCACCTAAAATAATATTTTCTGCCTTTGCTCAGAGGAACCTACAGTGGCTATTCACTTCCCACATTTTATTGTTTTATCCTCTGGACCCTGCAAGGTCGGTCAGTTCTAAGTCTTGTGATCGGGTTCGGGTGAGTCCACTGATTCCTTAGTAAGCTGGATCTTTGTTGAATTTGTCTTAATGTGCAGCTCTAACCCCTATGCCATGGTGCCCCCCAAATTTATCAATTCTTATTTCGAAAACTAGCATAGTTGGTCTTGGGGGATGCTGGCAGTGCCGTCCCACACCTCTGAGGGGGATTCTGGTTTGGAAAGCTGACCTATATGACCTGTGTCCCGCCCTCCCACACTGTATCCTCACCACAACCCTGCAAGGTAGGTTTAGCCTAGAGCAGCTGACCCAAGATCACCTGATGGTGTCAGAGGATTGTCTGGACATGAGGCAGGTGCCTTGTCAAAGCAGCTTCCAGTTTGTGAACACCTGGGAATTACTTGCAGCTGCTTTGATTTCAGCGATAGAAGAACAGAGGGGCAATAAACGAGATGGATAGATTTAGTTTCATGTCTGGCTTCCTATCCAGTATTTCACATTTGAAAGCGAGTAACCATCTGGCACAGCGTGTGTATTCGCAACGACTGCAAATGTGTTGGGACGGAGGCCATCGGAATAACAGTTTGGGGGACCCAACCTCCAGGACTCGAGGCGAGCAGGGAACCGTGGGACGTGGTCACTGTTCCCGGTGTGTTAATTCTGAAAAAGAGATTTGGCGATTGCACCCTCTCCAGGGATCCATCTCTCTCTCCAGGGACTCGTGGGGCAGGGAGGTGCTTGCAGATGGCCCTGTGGGGCTTGCACCATGGGCCTTTCCGCTGGAGTCCGAATTTCTGGAAGGCTGTTTGCTGCCCTGCTGTGCTGCATGGGGCCCTTGCTGAAATGAATTGCAGGCTCCCGATATTCTCCGTTGCCTCAGATCGGCCCGGATTAACCAGCTTTTGGCCCACCTGGGCTTCCCCTCCCGCTGCCTCCCTTGAATCTTTCCTCCTGAGGTTTTCTCCTGGAATCAGAACTTCTCTGCCCTGTGCGTGTGTTTCTTTTTACAAACAGGGGTCTTTAGGAGATGAGTTTCTAAACAGCCAGACACACGCACACACTGAATTCAGAGCAAACGTAACTTAGTACGTGGAAATGTGTGTGTTTCTGTTGCGTCCAAACCTTGGATCTCTCTGCTTCCTGGCGCTGCCTGGATCGGGCCGGGGACATCCCTCGTCTGCTGACCCTCGCTTCCCTCGACCACCGATCCTTTGATTCTGTCTCATCTTCTGTGTGGTGCCTCCCCACTTTTTGAGGGCCCCCCTAAACCTTTGCATCTTGAAGGGTGTGCTCAGGCCTTTCGGGGGATTCCGACCCGATCCCTTTTGCCTCCGGCTCTGCCAGCGCTGAAACACGGTCCCCGAAAGTTGACATGGCCCCAGGCCGACAGGTTCCCCACCCACCCCGCTGCTCGGGTGCTGCCGGCCGTGCCGGTGTCCTTCGGGCGGCTAAGAGGGAGGTGCACATCTCTCTGCAAAGCAGGGAGGGAATCGCAGGCTTGTCTCTCGGACACTAATTGGGGCCGACGGCCTTGGGTAAGAGGGTGGGGTAATCGGCTCTCGCCGTGGGCAGGGATTTCCTCCTAAGAGGGCTGCGGGGCAGAAGCGGCCCTGCTTTTAATGCCAGGGCTTAGGCCGCGTGGGCCAGCACGGAATTGCTCAATTTGTGCAACGCAACCGGCATCCTTCGAGGGTAACTCGGGGCCTTTCTTTTAGGTGCTCAGCAGGAAATAGTTCTTCCTGCTTGAACAGGGCGACTTTACAAGGCTGTCTCTGTGATTTTGTCTCTCCGCTGCCCGAGAAGCCTGGATGACGTCCTTCGTTGAGCCCGTGCTGAGAGAAATGCATCTTGGACAAGCTGGGCTCGCGCCCGCCTTTTCTTCCCCATTTCCATGCGGGGGGAAAACCTGATGAAAACAAAGCGGCAGGATTTTGTGCACAGATTTGGAGGCAGGAATGAACACACGCAGAGTCCCTGCCGGTGCTTCCTGATAGCCAGATCTTTGCTAATCTTATTTTCAGTCCGCCACAAAAAGAGATAGGAAAGAAGGTTCTTATGGGCTTTCCCGTTTCCTGCTCGTATTGGGGAGAAAGCCATTTTCCCTCCCACAGTTTTTCTGGCTGCTGCACCATGTTTTGGGGTGCATTGGCTGCGGATGGGCACTCGGAATCCCCTCCCCTTCCAGGGACTCGCGCTTGGTAGAGACGAACGTGGCCGGAGCTGGTTTGTGGGGGGTTCGGTATTCCCACAGCTGCCTGGTGGGTGTGGGGCTGGACGGCAACATTCAGAGGGAACTCTGCACCACTGCAGGATAACGACTGTCAGGCTCGACTCGACGGAGGAGCAGATGCTAATCGCGCAGAATGGACCTGGCGCGCTTCCCAGGCAGTTCCAGCAAAAGGGGTGGTGGGCAGCAGGGGATGGGGGAGCCCCTTCCCTGCTCAAGACCCGGGCCGACCTTGCTTGCGGCAGCTTCCCGGGTTCCAATCCGCGACGGAGGAGTCGTGTTTTAAGGGGACTGGCGTTCTTGTCCACTTGCGGTCCAGTGACACTTGTGCCCGAAAGGGGGAAGCCAGCTCACCCGTGTCCCTTTTCCTTTGTAGAAATCCGCGCTGACGATGGCCAGGTGGGCCCACGGCGTCCCAGCGATTCCGGGTGGTCCGGCGTGCGTGGGGCCCAGGGGCTGATCTCCCACCTCTGCATGGAGTCTGCCCGCCGTTGGTGCTGGAAGCCAGCTGGGACCCCGCCAGGACTAGCAGCTTGTTCCCTGGATTTGGAAGCCCCTCCCTCATGGGCGGGGCACTGACCTCTCCTCCCGGAGAGCGGGCTCTGCGGTCGTCGCCGAGGACTTGATTTGCCGGGGGCCTGGGGGACGGAGCTCCTTGCCGCCCAGTTGGAAGCCCAGGGAGGAATTCCGCGTGGCCCCCCGAGTCTCTGGGCAGCACCCGAGGGGAGGGTCCACAGGCGCCCGGGGGCGATGCAGTCGGACGACCTCTTCATCCGCAAGATCCGACGGCACTCGAACCGCCCCCCGCTCACCTCGCTCTCCTTCGACACCTTCCGGGCCCCCAAGCCCCCCGCGGCCGAGGGCCCCGGCGGCCCCCCGCTGCGCTCCCCCAGGCGCACGTACCTCATGCATCGCAGCAACAGCGACGTGACGCTGAGCGAGGGGGAGCTGGGCCTCGTCCCCGCCACCGCCATCCCCGCGCCCCCCGCGCCCCCCGCCCCGGGGGCTGGGCTCCACCGCAGCGGCGGCGGCACGCATGTGTCCGTGAAGGGGGCGGCGCCCCCCCCGCGCCCGGGCGCACAGCCATGAGGAGCAGCGGGCCAGCAGCCCCACCGCCCGGCGCTTCCGGGACCCCCTGCTGCTCCTGGGCCTGGCGCCCACCGAAGTCTGGGAGACGGAGGCGGATGGCGCTGTGTCCGGGGAGGGGGCCGGGGGCGAGGGGGCCGCCCCGGCGTGGGGCCGCCACCTGGCCCACTACGACGTCCAGAGCATCCTCTTCGAGCCGGGCGAGGCGGCCAAGGAGGCCGAGAGGCCCGGCAACGTCACGACGGGCGCCTCGGCCGCCTCGCAGTCGCAGCAGGCGGACGGGGCGCCCCCCCTCGAAGGCGTGGCGGGGACGGGGCAGGACGGGTGCCTGGTGCTCAGCTGCCCCCGCTTCCGGGTCGAGGCCGGCGGCGAGGTGGAGCGCGGGCTCGGCCAGCACCGGGGGCCGCTGGCCGGATTCCACTGCCCGAACATGGCCGTCTCCGTGCTGGAGGAGCCCCGGGAAAGCTACGGGCAGCGCACCAGCCGGACCAGCTACGCCATCGAATACGCCGACCTGGGCGCCTGCTATTACCGGAAGCATTTCTACGGCAAGGGTGAGTAGTCAGCCTGTAAAACGGGCCCGGGGTGGCGAGCGAACCTGTCCGAACAGGTGCGGGATTCAACCTAGGATGTCCAGGCAAAGACCAGAAGTGGAACTAAGCTCTGACCCGGAGACCTTCCGCCAGATGGCTTGGCCTACTCTTAATTTTCAAGCAGTGGTTCCTGGCGGAGCACTCCGGAGCCAGCTCTCCTGGCCATTGGCGTTAAATGACAAGCCCGTACGTACTCCGAAGTCCAGTTATATGTCCGCTTTTCAGCACCACCAATAGATGATCCAACTTCCCTATTTCACTTGGGAGGTTTGGAGAGGGTAGGAAGGCCTGATGGTTTTGCTTCGGTTTGCAAATCACTGAAAAATGTCCCCCCGCCCCAAAGCAAAAGGGAGCTCATCTGCCGCGGAACTGGTTGCAGATGACTCCAAACAGTTGCTCACTCATCCCTGGAAGGGAATTGCCATGCCGACGAAGGCACTGGGAAGCGAAGACGTTTGGGAACCGGGAATCTAGCTGCATGGTGGTGGTCCGTGGGGGACAGGTTCACCCTCAATTTACTGCGGGGTCTTCTTGGTTGTGGCACCCGCAACTTGGAATGTTCTCCCCAGAAACCAGGCCGGCTCCGAGTGTTGCAGGCTTCCGAGAATAACTTGGAACACATCTGTTTGCCCTGGTGTTCCCCTGACTGCCTGCATTTTCCGCTACCCATGTTTATTTTAAGGAAATGTTACTGTTTTCCCTCTGCTTTGTTGTTTTCATGATCAGTCTCATTGTCGGTTTAGGATGTTATCACAGAAGCAGTGCTGTAAATTGGTTAGACGGAAAACATCATCGAAATCTTCTGAAATAAATAAATTTAGTATGATCACCGTGAGGAATAAGAAAGGGTCATAACGGGGTAGAGGCAAACCAGGGCATCTTTCAGGCTGTTTCCCCACTTCCTTCCACCCACACAGAGCACCAGAACTATTTTGGGATAGATGATCAGCTGGGCGCTGTCGCCGTCTCCCTGCGCCGGGAGGAGAAGGAAGGCACCGCCGGGCCGCAGTACAATTACCGCCTCATCATACGCACAAGTCAGGTGGGCTGCTACAACCTTCTGGGACACCAGCGCACTTGTCTGACGGGATCGTACTCGTCCTGTTGGTGGTTGCCTGAGATTCAGAGTTAAAGCAAGAAGCATTAGTCACAGTTCTGCCTGAGTCAGCAGACTGAGTTTATATCAGGGCCAGGTGGGCACGGCTAGGCCAGGTAGGTAGAGCCTGGTCAAGGTATGTGCCTCAGTCTCAACAGGCTCAGTAAAGGCGGAAGCCCACTGGAGCGCCTTCTGGGCACCTAGGAGATTGTTGTCTCAGCAGCGAGCCAAGGCCTGCCGAAGTTTGCTGGAGGCAGCAAGGATCCGTCGTGCGTTTAGGTCCCCCTCTTGGGGGAGCAGGCTTGACTCCCCTCCGCTGTGCTCTTGGAGGGAGTTCTCGCCTCGTGGTGTCTGGGCAGTGTTGTCGCCCACACACGTGCAGCTAGTTCCTGGGTGAGATGAAATGTTTCCTGACGTTGCAACATGGTGGACGGCCCCTGTTGCTCGTGCACCCTGCAGAGCTGGTGAGCAGCTTGCCTCCGTAGCAAAGTCCCTCCTCTGGCTGCTCCCCGGGACCAAAACTGGAGTGGAAGGGAGAAACGGTGCCTGATGACGGAGCAGGACTTCCTAGAAGGACAGTCCCGGCTTCGCTCCTTCTCATAGGTGGCCAGTGCCGAAGGTTTGCTCGCCCAAACCTGGGCCCACTGGAAAACAAGGCGAGAAGGATCTTATGTTTGGGGAACGTTGGGATTTGGGGCAGGACACTGCTAGGGAGCAAAACGAAGGGGGCACTTCCCCACCGTTCAGGCGAATAGAACCTGGTTGGTGGCCCGCCGTGCCAAGCATCTGTCTGGGACCTGGGAGCGGAAAGGGGATGCCGTGAGTGGGCGGAACGGCTGCCTGGAACCCGGACCTGGCGCACCCTTGCGGCAAGGGACGCTGCGCTTTAGCATTTTGCTGCCGCTTGCACCGTGCCTTCACAGCGCTGTGGTCGCAGCCCGGCTTGTCCTTTGCTTCTCCGCCACCTGCGTCGCCATGCACGGCGTTTCTCCGCCATCCTCTGGTCTAGAGCGTCCTCCTGGTCAGCAGGTGGGGTTTAATAGCTGTGCTTGTTTTCCGCGAGGGAGGGAACTCATTCAGCCTCTGATAGGGGGCAGGAAGTTTCTAGAAGAGGCTGTCGAAAGAGGAAGTAAATTAAAGACGTGCTGTTCCCCCTCCGTGCCCGTCCTTTCTCCCTTTTTAGCTTTCCTTTTGCCTTCCTGCAAAAAGCGGGAAAGGGGAATCCGTTCTTGGCAGGATCAGCTGCAAAGGGCCGATCGGCCCTCCCTGCTCGGCCCTTTGGGATCTAGGTCCTACCAAAGGTTTTATTGGACTCGTAACCTGGACTGGCACGGGCCCTGATTCCCCAGCCTCTTCTCTGTGGCCCGCTCCACATTCTCAGGATCAAAGTGGCCTGGCAAGCTCGTGTCTCCCATGCTTTTGGAAATCAAGGACAAAAGGAAGGTTCTGTCGAGGCCTTTGAAATCTTGGCAGCCATTTCGTTTTGGTTGGGGTTTTCATCTGAACGCTGGCTGACCACACCAAGGCACACGGCCCCTTAGGGCGGGGATGCTGGGGACAGGGTGACTAGAAATCCTCAATTGGCCGCGGAGCAGGTGGGTCTTCTCTGCCAGGTCCCACGATCCATCCCAGATGATGCCGAAGGCCAGGAAAGCGCCCGGTAGGCACTGGGAGCACCGATGCAGCGTGGTCCCGAGTCAGAGGGTCCTGGGGCGTAGTGTGGCTTTTCCCAACACCAGAGAAGGGTGGCAAATAGAGAGATGCGGCATTGGGGGTCCCACCATGTACACACGGGTTGGGTGTGGGCTTTTGTGGCACTCTGGGTTGGGACGTGATGACAAACAGGATCCGCCCCCTTGATAGTGGCTTCGGCCTCCTCCTTCCAGCTCCGGACTCTGCGGGGATCCATCCTGGAGGATGCTGTCCCCCTCGCCGCCCGTCACACCAGCCCTCGCGGCATCTCCCCCAAGAAGCTGTTGGAGCACGTCATGCCGGAGCTGAATCTGCAGTGCTTCCGCCTGGCTTCCAACTCCCCGAAGGTCCCGGAGACGTTACTCAAGCTGGATGAGCAAGGAGTACGGCCCTTTGTTTGACCGGTCGGTTTTGGGAGGATTGCTCGGCCCACCTTTCCGTGGAACCATCTGGTATCTCCATGCATACTGTCGCCACTGCGCGGGGACGCAAGCTTAAAATAAATCGCGTGCTTCATCGCAGCTGCGCAGGTGCAGAATGAAAAACACCCGAGGGAGGAACGGGGGGAATAGAATTTGTCCTACAATCCAGCTCCGGGTGGAGGAGTGTGTCCCTAGCAGCCTGAGCCCCCCGGCCTCTTCTTGAAGACAGCGACTCCTTGCGGGCACGATGCTCCCGGGTTGAGGGGGTCCGGCCTCCTTGCTTCCTTCTTGCCTTCCTGTTTCACTGCGCTTGAAGGAACGGACGCGGCCCTGGGTCGTGGGCTGGGAGGCTGCCCGAGGGCTCATCCGGACAGCCATCCCAGCAGCTCGGGAGCGGAAGAGGGCAGGGCGAGGACGGGGAAGAGGAGGCGGGTGCCGAGGGCGCGGGGGGGGGGGGGGACATGTGTCGCAAGCCAGGTTCTTGGACTGGGGCATTGTGGGCCACTTCTAGCCCCAGATGGCTAGCAAAAGAGGAGCCAGGCTGGAGGGGACCCAGCACCTGTCTAATATGGCTTCCTGTTCGCACAGAGGCCAGCCAGGGAGCCGGGGAACTCTGGGAGTTGTTGGGCTTTTTCTGTTCAACGATGCTTAGAATTATTCTACGTATTTATGGTTTTAATAATTTGCGATTTCTTGGTTCAGATAGACTTTGCCCACTCGTCGCCTCTCTGAGCATCCCCACCAATAGAACAGTCTGCCATGCTGGCCGGGGATGATGGGAACCTGCTGTTCGAAGCCTCTGGGAGGCACCTGGCTCTGGAAGGATGGGTTAGGCTCTTGCCCCCTCCTGATTTTCTCTCCCCCCACCCCTCACAGCTCAGTTTCCAGCGAAAGGTCGGCGTGCTTTATTGCCTGGCCGGGCAGAGCTCCGAAGAGGACATGTACAACAACGAAAACGCCGGGCCAACTTTCCAGGAGTTCCTGAACCTGCTGGGCGACCGCGTGTGCCTTCGCGGCTTTGACAAGTACCGCGCACAACTTGACACCAAGAGTGAGTGTGGGCGCAGCCGATTGCCACACGGGGAAAGTCAGCCCCCTTTTTATTAAACAGGTTTATTGCAGCAGCTGCAGCACCAGCGTTTGGAAGGATAAATTGAATTATCACAGCCTTCTTTAGCCTTTTTCTGCCCCTACCCACCAGAATGTTCCCTTCTTCAAGGTTGTGTTGACAGCCTTGGAGAGACGGCATGTGTGGGTGGGGAGGCCAGGCCTGTGCTTTGCCTTCTGTGTCTCAGAGATGTGCTTTCACATGACACAGGGGAGGGCTGAGTAGAGAGGCAGTGTGGAATAGTGGCTAGAGCACCGGATCGGGAGCCGGGGGTCTGCATTCTCGTCCGCGCTCAGCCCTGAAGCTCACCAGGTGCATTTGGGCCACGCACGGGATTTCCGTCCAGCCTCCCTCACAGAGTCGCCGTGATGATAAAACGGGGAGAACGGTGGGAGAGCAAAGCAGTGTAAACGTGCCGGTTTAAAAAGAAAACTCGCTCGCTTGCTGAACTTTCCTGTCAGCAAGGAATTTTTAAAAAGAGACTTGCTTGGCCCAATCTGGGGCGGGGGTCAGGAGTGGCTGAGATGGGACCAGCCCTATTTGTTTGTTTATTAAATTTCTATCCCACTTCCCCCCCTTTTTAAAAAGCACTCAAAGCAGCTGACGTGATTCCCTTCCTCTCGATCTTAGCCTCACAACAACGACCCTGCGGGGTAGGTTGGGCCGAGAGAGCGACTGGGCCAGGGTCACCCAGAGAGCTTTATGGCTGAATGGGGACTCGGACCCGGATCTCCCAGCTGCCCAGTCCTGTGCTCGTCACCACACTCGGCACAGTGAACGCAGACCCCTAACGACACGTGTTCGGCCTTTCTCCCGCCTCCTCTTCCTCCTCGCAGATGATTCCACCGGGACGCACTCGCTCTACACCATGTATCAGGACTATGAGATCATGTTCCATGTCTCCACCATGCTGCCGTATACCCCGAATAACCAGCAACAGGTGAGCTGGGCCTTTTGCTCCGAGAGAACTTGGCCGAGGGTGCATAATGTGGGATAGCGTAACGAAGACAAGTTGCCCATGTTCCATCGCTGCCGCGTGATGGGCAGCGGTGGCTGAACACCTCAACTTTCTAAGCCAGATGACAGCAGTTCCTGCCTTTTGCCGGCATGTTAACAAAGGTACTGGGATTCTTCCAGTGTTGCACATGTGCAATACATTTGCGTACAAGCAAATCTGCAAGTCGGTTGTGCAAAACATCGCAAAGGGATTTTGGAGGAACAAGGATTTGAATCAGGCTAGCAAAACGGTTGTGAGCCGCCCCAAGGCTTTGTTGCGATGGGGGCGGCACAGAAATGTTTTAAATAAAGAAATAATAAAGAGGGAGGCAGAAAACAGCCTCCTGGGCTTTCCCAAAATGCAAAAATCCAGCACCCCCTTTGCCTGGACGGCGAGATGAGCCTGGTTCATGAGCTTTGCCGCGCCAGCATTCCCTGCTGGGCTGGATTTGACATGTTGGAATTAGCATGTTGCAAACCGTCGGAAGAGATTTGGCTGTTCGGCAAAACAGAAATGAAATTAATAGGGAAAGCTCTGTGCGAAGCCGTACATGGTTCTGAAGCCTTCCCCAATATCTTGGTGGTAGTACCCCAACGGTAGAGAATCAGCCGTTATTCAATTCTAGAGATACGTCTTTTTTAAAAAATAAGTTTTATTATTTTTCTACTAACAAAAAGAAACTAAAAACCATCAAAAGCGGCAGACCTACTGGGTCAGCCCCCCCTTCTTTTTCTTTTTATAGTAAGCCATAAGCATATTTAAGGCTGCGCATAGTCCCGTTTCTCTAGCCAATAATAAAAGGAGTTCCAAATTGGACAGAAGTCTGTATTCTCTTTCTCCTTCAGAGACAACAGTCCAGAGATACTTCTATTTACAGCCAGTTTGTTTATTTATTTAAAACATTTCTATGCCGCCCCCATCGCAACAAAGCCTCGGGGCAGCTCACAACAAAAACAAACAAAATCGTACAAAAATTTATACACTAAAAATATTAAAACCCAGTGCATCTCGGCTTAAATTTTTTTTAAAAATCCTCCATAATAAATTAACACTTAAAATAAGTTTTAAATAAAAAGGACTTGGCCTGGCGCCGAAAAGCAAATAACGACGGCGCCAGGTGGACCTCTCTGGGGAGCGCATTCCATAGGTGGGGCGCCACCGCAGAGAAGGCCCTCCTCTGGGTACTCGCCCTCCTAATATCTTTCACGGAGGATTGCCGGAGAAGGGCATCTGTTGCTGATAGGCAGTGGCCAATGCTATACCCGTTCCCTGCTCGTATAGTGATGGTTTTATTGCATGTCATTGTTAGGATTTTAATGCTCTTCTTGTGTTGTATTTTTGTGGGGGGTGTTCTTAACCCTCTGGTCTCCCCACAAAGGAGGCCAGGATATAAATATCAAGCAGCTGGGCCCTCGTGAGGCTGCGTCGAAACCCGAGCATATTTTGTTTGCTCAGTTTTAATATTTTGATTGAAAATTGGCTGCCAGCCCCCCTCTTCGTCTTTCCGGTAACCTCTTCCCGCCGCCCCCTTTTTTCAGCTCCTCCGGAAGCGTCACATTGGGAACGACATTGTGACCATCATCTTCCAGGAGCCCGGCGCCCTCCCCTTCACGCCGTGCATGATCCGCTCGCAGTTCCAGCACGTCTTCATCGTGGTCAGGATGCACGAGTCCTGCATGGAGCAAACCACCTACAGGTGAGCAGGAGGGGTGGGGAAACCCTACAGGAAGCTGCCCCGATTTTGCAAAAGAAAAGACTCAAATCCATGCAAGCGTGGGACTTGTGTTAGGCCAGCTTGGAAGGCAGGACATGCAGGTTCTTCAGAATGTTTTGTTAGATGGGATGGTAAATAAAACCAAAAATGCCGTGGGAAAAGGAAGAAAATGGCAGGAGAGACAGACAACTGAGTGCGTTTGGGATCTGCTTCCGACCCCCTGTGGTGGGGTGTACGTTTTGCGCTTTGCCAGCAGAATTCAGCAGAAAATAGCTATAGACCTTTAACTTGAGGTGGCCTTTCTCCAAGCTACATTTGCCCTTTTGAAGGCTCCACAGGAGTTTGTTGCTGAAATGGGGGAGGAAAACACAGATTTTGGGAGATGCTGCCAGATTTCGGCAGTACGGGAAGAAGGGGGCTGCGTGCTGCCGACCAGCCATGCGTCACTCGCTCTTACAGCCTGCTTGCTCTGCGTTTTGTGACTTTTGAGATCGGCCTAAGAAAAGTACGGTGCCAAAGGGGCTTCTAGCATTTTCTTCCGCGCAACACCGCTGCCTTTGCCTTTGGCTTCACTCTGAAGTTGTCCCTGAAGCTAGCACCAAGCAGACCTTGCCTTTCTGGGTTTGTCGGCCTGCGAGGAGATTTTAAAGCAATTAATAATCGCCTTAATAATTGCCTAAGATTTCAAGGCAATTATTTCATCTTTCATTTCATGAATCATTTCATCTTGTTGTTGAAAAATGCAAGTTTCCCACAAACTAGGTAGCTTTCATGCACACGTGGACCCTCTGTGGTGCTTCCCCCTCCTTTTACTGGTTTGGCATCCTTCCTGACACTGTGGACTTCACCTTCCATCATCCCTGACCATTGGCCGTGCTGGATGTGGCTGATGGGAGTTGGAATCTTGCAACATGTGGAGTGCCACAACTTCCCTCACTCCAGTTTAGCATTTCATCTGCACTGACATTAACCATGGTTCATGCTAACCAGGGTCCCAAGTGACCAGGGCTCGCAAAGCCATTTTGAAACCTGGTTGTGGACCTTGATTAGCTTTCGCTCTGGTTAGCAAAATGCTTTGCATGAGGAAGCCAGAGAAGGGAGGGTCGTATTCCAGAGATCGGCTCCCAAGTTGCACATGTTAGTTTGCAGCGAAACACAATTATGTCTGCACCAGGTCTGCAAAATATTATCACAACCGACAAATTATGTCTAAGTAGGTGGTAAACAAGTCTGGGTCAAGGAAATGTAACTGAATTTTCAGATAATCCCAGGGTCTTCTGCAGCTGTGCTGTACTCCTGATTTTTATTTGAGTTTGTTACATTTTTCTTTCATTAAAAAAATAACTGAGATCCTAGCATGGTCCCACACCAAAGAGCTGCCTTCTAGCACTATCTTGATTTGGGTTCCTGTTTTTGTGTTCCGGAGCTCCGATCCCACCTTGGTTATGTATTTAGCTGCTTGGGCAAATGATTTTCTTTTAGTCCACCATGTGAGATCTGAGAAACGGGGGGTTTGCGACAAGCCCTGCCCTTCGCGGCAGCCCTTTGTATCCACAAGCGAGGCACCCATGGTATCTTTTTCCTGATGATGCCAAGGGCACCCTGCAAGAATCCAGCTGTGCCCATGTGCCCCAGACACTTGGGGACTCCCTGTTACCTGAGGCGCCTGTTTCTCCCTCTTTCTGTTTTTTCTTGGATGTCAAGGAGAGGACACAGTGAGACTTGAACTGGTTTTTATTCTTGCGCCCTTATTTGATCTGTAAAGTAGGTTCTGGGGAAGGCTGCTCCGTTTGTGTACGACACGGTTGCAGCCTGGCCCTGCGAAAAACTAAGAGAGCAACTAAACTAAACTGCGAAAAACTAACAGAGCAAGAGAAATGCCGTGATTCATCAGTGTGAGCCTTTCTTCCTCCACACTTTCCGCAAGAATCGCTTGCTTCTTGATGATTCAGCTGCACATGGAATGCGAAAGGAGGCAGGCCTGGCAGGGGGGGGGGCACCTTCACTTCCGCCCCCACTGTACTTCCTTGTCTTCAAAGTGTGGCCTCCATGTGGTAAATACAAGACAGGTCATATTTTTACGTGGCTGCATCGCACCAGCCCTTTTCTCTGGAATTTCCACTTCTGTCTGCGGTAACTTCTTACGGAGCGTCGAGACAAACACCTCACCCAAACCTCACCGCTGGGGGTTTCCTTTATTATCCTCCCAACTTGTCTCACTGTGCAAAATTTTGCACACCTTTATCATTTCTCTCCTTGCTCACCCTTTTCCCACACTAAACAGTCCCAGACATGGAAGAGTTTCTGTATCTTACTAACGCCACGACCAGCACTGTACACAGTTCCAAGTCTGGTCCCATCATCCATTTCTATAAGGGCAGGGTAATATTATTAGCAGTTTAATTTGCAGTTTTGTTTCTATTTATTCCTGAGATGGAATCTGCCTTTTTGCACAGCAGCCACGCACTGGAACAACAATTTCACGGAGCCCCAAGATCTCTCTCTGATCAGTTGTTGCTCGTTCACATCTCAGTTAGAACGGTTTGCTCCGACATGCATCACTTTATCCTTGCTTACAGCCGGCCTCATCTGCCCATCTGAGATCCTTTTCGAGCTCTTTGCAATCCCTTTCTGTTTTAACCCCCCCTAAATGACAAGGTGTCTGCAAACTTGGCCACCCCGCTGCTCACTCCCAATTCCAGATCATTTATGAGCCAATGGAAAAGCGCCGGTTCCAACCCAGGACCTTGCTGGGACTCCGCTGTTTACTCTCCTCCATTGGCAGAATTTCCCGGTTCCAGGAATGTTCTCGGAGGGGAAAGGCAGGGGGCACTTACAGTCTGCCGTGGCTTGCTAATCTAGGCTAATTCTTTGGGGGACAATATTCCCACTTTTGGGGGGCTCCGGAAGACTCCCCAGGGACAGCCTTCAGACAATCTTTGCTCGCACTTCAAGGATCCGCCTGTTTCTCCATAATCCGCAGACAAGGTTTCACTTCCAGCTCCACGAAGCACCGTTTCGTGCAAATTCTCGCTTCCTCTGCCCGTGGCAAGAGCGTGATCCCGTCCTTGTCTGTCTGGGTGCCACTGGCTGGGCTTGCATCTGTGGGTGGGAGCTGTGTGCCCACGGAGCGGCCTGTGGTTGTCTGAGCCCAGGTTGTCGGCGACACACAACAGGGCTCGCTGTCGGTCCGCCATGGCCTCTGGAGTGAACCCTGCGGTTGCGACCGTGTGCCAGCAGGGGGAGCCACAGGGCCTGCCATGGCGAGGCTGCGGGGCGACGCACCGACCCTCTGGCTTGGGGCCTGGGCCCTGACGAGTTTTGCACTCCGCTTCCGTGCACGGCCACCGCCGGCTGTCGCTTCCACCCCGTGTGCTGGCACACGTCGCCTTCCGTCGCACACGCTTGTGAAAAGTTTCCACGGCCGTTGCTGCGGAGGCTTCCTCCTCGTGTTCTTTTGGCCCGTCCGGGGATGAGACGGCGCAGAGATTTCGGTGCGGTGTTGTGCGGGGAGGCCCTGCGCATGCTTCTGCCTACAACTCCCACGATCCCGCTGGGGCTGATGGGAGTTGTAGGCCAAAGCATCCGGAAGATCGCACAGCTCTCCTGCCCCACAGGCAGTTGGGTTTAAATGGAAGGACAGAAATTGGCATTCCCTGCCTATTTTTCTTGTTCTTTTCTAGTGCCTCAGTTCAGTCCTGTAGCATGTGAAAGAGCAATATAGATCTTAGCCTCTGAGCATCCGCAGAGTGCAGCCCTGCATGTGGTTATGGACTTGGGATTATGAGGCAGGACTTTGAGGTCTCTATATTTGTACTCTGGTGTTTATATGCACAGAATAATTGTTGTTACAAATCGTAATATTAATTCCCTGGGTGCAACATCACCGCAGTAGCTGCCCCTATTTTATTTGAAACCTTTGCTGTGTCTAACGAAGGACTAATCCAAAGGCAGGTCTGTTCCCAGTATCTGATCCTAGAAACCAGATGCATTTGCTAAAATGAGAATAAATTAGAGCCTCGTGCCAGGAGAGCTTGGAGGAGCGAGGCGAGGATCGCGAAAGGCCGCCGTGCCAGGTCCGAACCGTGTGCCCAAAGCTAACCTGCCCCCTTCCGGTCTCTCCCCCGGCTGCCCCGGCCAGCGTCGCGGTGAGCTGCACGGAGGACATCCCGCCCTTCGGCCCCTTCATCCCGGCGAAGAACTGCTTCGTCAAGGGCCCGGCCTTCCGGGACCTCCTGCTCGCCAAGGCGATCAACGCCGAGAACGCGGCCGAGCGCTCAGGGAAGTTCCACGCCATGGCCACGCGCACCCGCCAGGAGTATCTGCGCGACCTCGCCCTCAACCACGTCACCACCAGCACCCTGGAGGCCTCCTCGACGCGGCTGGCACTCATGGCGCTGGCGGCGAAGAAGCGCGAGAAGTCCAGAGCGCCCAAGGGGGCGGAGGCGCACAGCGCGGGGGCCTTGGTGTGGGGCGTGTGGGCGCGGGACGGCTGCAGGGGCCCCGACAGCAAGGCTCCGGAGCTCCGGTGCTTGTTGGGCATCTCGGCGGAGTTTCTAGTCCTCATTGACGCCCGCGAGAAGAGGGTGGTCTTTAACTGCTCCTGCCGGGACATCCTGGCCTGGACCTTTTCGGAGAGCTGCACTTTGGACCTCTACTACGAAACCGGGGACTACATCTGCATGCGTGTCGAGGAGGCGCAAGCGTCCGACATCCGGGACATCGTCCACCGATTGCAGGTAGGAATTCCGGGCGCGATGCTGGGGATGCTGGGCACCTGGGGCTTCTCCCCTTCCCAGATTTCAGATATGCGTGGCTTCTGCTGTGGATTGACAGAAGGGAAGCAGCCCGCTTGCTTGAGACTCCCAAAGCAGGCCCTAAACCGGCTCCAGGATTCAGCCCCAAATATGAGGCGGAGGGAATCCATCAAGGGAAACGCAGGCTTGGGCTTGGAAGAGCTGAGGGGGGCAGTCTGGAATGGACATTTTGGGGGTCTTCCTTCATGAGATCACCATGAGTCGGAGAGGCTTGGAAGGCACGTCACAACAGCAACGACAAGGGTTCTTCCTGAGCTTAAAACAATGCGCTGCATGATCTGGGAATGCCGTTTTTACCAGTCCTAGAGGGGTGCTTTGGACCCTCGTTTACACTGGGGAGCAGCTTGGTGTGGATAGAAACCAAAAGCTTAACGATTTCCTAGGGACCCCACGCAGGCTGAGAAACGCACGTTAGGACCTCTCATTCTGACACAGAGGCTGGCTGCCCCTTGGGGGATTGCATATGTTTTGACAGACCCCAAAACGTTGTGAGCATCTCCTGGGCTCGCACAGTTCTGGGCCCTTCATGTCCAAAACGGAAAAAAAGCAGAAAAGGGCAAGTGAAAGAGTCCTTGAGGGTCGTTTGGGAGTTTTGGGACAAAAGTTTGAAAAAAATCATGGCACGACTGAGGTGCATTTAATCGTGCAGGGTGTGGATCAGTGGCTAGCGGGAAACATTCTCCCATCTCAGATTATGGGAAGCTGGAGCAAGGAGAGGACGGCCGTGCGCTTCCCTGCCACGGCAAGCAGTGCTGGCCACGCGTCCGGATGGGTTTAAAAGGGGACCAGGCCTGGAAGAGGAGGCTTTATGGCTGCCTCCGGGATCAGAGCTTCTTAAGGCTGTGTTTTCCCACTTTGAACCTCCCACGCGCTCTTTGGCGAAGGTTTGGCTTCGGACGGTGCCTTTTTGGTAGTGGCAGCTAAACCGTGGAACGCTGCCCGGTCACTCAAGCCACAGGCCGTACTGTCTGAAAAGGGTTTTATTTCCTCAGGCCTTCGCTTTGGTGTTTCCCTGGCGGTCTTTTCCAGGCAGAAGTTTGTCCTCTTGCTACTTATGTCTATATTTACACTGTTTGTGGTTGTTGATTAAATACAGTGTTTTCTTTCTTGGTTTGTTTATTGAAAATACTGTTTGCCCTCTCCTCAGTCAGAAAAGCTCCTGGAGTGGCTTACGTCTTGTTCAGTCCAACAAGACAGCTGCTCTCCATAGGCTTATTACCTAAGAAGACCCAACACGCGCGGAAAAGGGGAGGAGGAGGGCAGAGGAAAAAGCTGCCCTTCAGTAGTACCGGTGGAATGGCCCTCCTTTCCTGCCCCGTGCGCCTCAGGACAGCCTGCTGGGATGGCTGCTGGTGGGGGCAGTTGAGGCAACAGGATCCTTCATGGGGGGTCCTTCAACAGGTCTGGCGGGTTGCCCCACTTCTTTCCCTCCGTCCCCTCAGATTTAATAGCGGCCTTAAGTCTTTCCTTTTTCTTTTCTTCATGTTTATTATTTTTCAGTCATGCCTTTTCCCCACAAGGGACCCAAGATAGCTTACATAGCCCTCCTCTGTGTTTTGTCTTCACAACAACCCTGTGAGGTAGGCTTAGGCTGAGAGGCCGCCACTGGCCTGCGGTCGCCCAGGAGCATGGGGGCTGAGCGGGGAACTGGCATCCAGATCTCCCGAGCTGCAGTCCCGCACTCTTGCCACACAGCACTGGGCTTGGGGGCCCGTGAGAGGGGTCTTGCAAGCCCGCCTCCCCACACGCCGCTCTGCAGCCCCAATTCACTCCCCGCGCGTGTGTGTGTGTGTGTGTGTGTGTGTGTGTCTCTCTCTCTCTCTCTCCCTCCCGCCCCGGCAGCTGGTCACCCGGGGATGCGAGACGAGGGAGCTGACGCTGCTGCGCAACGGAGTCGGGCAGCTGGGCTTCCAGATGGACCACGAGGGCTTCGTGACCGAGGTGGAGCGCTTCACCTTTGCTGAGAAGGCCGGGCTGCAGCCGGGGGCCCGGCTGGTGCGCGTCTGCGAGAGGGCCCTGCCCAGCCTCAGCCACCCGCAGACCTCGGAGCTGCTGCGCATGGCCAAGAAGGTCACCATCACCGTGGTGCCCCCGGACGAGAACGGGAAGCCCCGGAGGTGAGGCGTCCCGGGGGCATGGCGGGGGGCGAGCGGCTCGATTCCTGCTTATAATGGCGCTTCACATCACCCAGCTGTGGGTGGGGGGTGATTTGATTCCTGGTCGTTCGGGGTCCTCCCACGGGAGAAATCCCTGAGGCAGGTCCGGCTGTTCTGTTTCCTTGGGCAGAAGTTTCTCGGAGCTGTACCAGAAGTCCCTGCAGGAGAAGAGGAGGAGCGAACCGCCAGCCGGAGAAGCAGAACTGACCAGGCCCGGGAGCGAGGCGGGGTTCAAGCCAGCCACCCTGCAGCTGCTCCACTCGCTGTCCCTGCAGGACGGGCCCCCACACAGCCTGGCGGAGGAGAGGACGGAGTTCCTCCGGAGCCCCAGCAAGAGGGTGCTCGGGCCCCCGAACCCGTGAGTAGCCGAGGGCCCCCCCTGCTGTGGCCGCTGCTCAGGGACCTCTCCTGCGGCGACGTCCCGCACCGATCCCGCAAGGCACAGAGGGGATGGGAAGAGGGGCAGGGCAGAGCAAGCAGGCCTGAGCACCCGCCCGGGGGCAGGAGGTGCCTGGCTCAGCCGAGCCGAAATCCGAAGGGGAAGCGAAGCACCAGCTCCCCGCCTCTGTGCCTTGAGTGGGCCGCTGTCTCTTCCACAGGACGCCATCGCAGGACGACTCGGTTGTATCGAATCCTCCGCCGGATGTCATCTTGGCTGCCACCCCCAAGGCGCCCCCAGGCCTGGGCACGGTAAGTATTTCCACGAATGCTGGGCTGGGGACGGGGGGGGGGGGGGACTCAAGTGTCACTGCGCTGAGGCCTGCGGGTACCAGAAACTTGCCGTTGCAGGATCCAGAGGGGGCCGTCTGGCCTGGCCTTGTAAACGATTATCACCGCCTTCCTTCTGCTTCAAGGGCTGAAATTATTTGGAAGGGTTTGTTATCAAAGTTGTTTCATGCCTCTCCTTCTAACTGGAGTTTCTGGGGACCAACCCCCAGGTCATTCTGCCTGCAGAATGTTTGGTGAATGTTTAACTGGCTGCAGTTTCCCTTGGAAAGCGGCTGCCAGTGGCTTAGAAGCACTTGCTCTTATTCCATTTATTCACAAATGCAGAGTAATCGTAGATGCTTAACCCTCTCATCAGAGCACGCCCCAAATCTTTGGAGTTCCTCTAAGCTAAGCTGCGGCTTGCCTGTGTGGCCCCTAACTCCAGAAGTAGTACCTTTGTTCTAAACTGCTCCTTTCTGTCCTTCTAATGGTGCCCGACTCGGTAGATAAGTGCTTTGTGTTGTTTCTTTGCGCTGCTTACCCGACCATGTGTTGCCTACTAGAACGTTCTTCAGGACTAGAACCTTATTTTAAAGCTCAGCTTCTCAGCGAGCTGAGTTTCACACTGGGTACCAAATTCTGTCGATCTGGCAGAATACGCCAAGCCTTGCTCTTCTCTTGCAGGACCATCCTGGGGATCCTCTGGCGAGCAGAAAAAGCCCCACCACAGAGCAAGAGCGTAAAGATCCGCAGCCTGGAGAAAAGGCGTGTCCACACTCGGAATCCAGCGAAACCGACAAGTTCCTGCCACGGACGCTTTCCCTGCGGAACTCCATCACCAAAAGTAAGGATCTCCGTTGAATTCCTAGCTCCGGAGCACAAAAATACCGGCGTGGCTGGAGCTGGGTCGGTTGGCTTAGCTCAGAGGCGTTAAACCTCTTTCAGGCAAGGGTCCGAGTCATTTTCGGGAAATCGGGGGCTGCAGCTCCCCTGTGGTGGGTGGGACGAAAGGCAGAGGCCTGGAGCCCAAAGCACCAACCTGTTATGTTGTAAAGCTTTCTGCTAGGTAATAAGCTTTGGGGGAAGCGTTTCCGCCTTTGAGAATGGGGTAAAATGGACCGAAGCTGGAGGATGGACGAATGAGCAGCCACGCCGGGGGCTGAGCCAGGCAGGGGACCCTGCAGGTCTGGCTTGGGGGCCCAGGTCTGAGCTCCCGCACCCCTGGCTTGGCCTCTGTCGGAGGACTGACGAGATCCCCCCCCCAATCTGTCCTGCAGTCCTCTCGGAAGCTAGCGAGTCCCTGGAGGATGAGTGGGACTCCATTGCTGGCCTGGCGTCTACCTGCAACAGCATCTTGGAAGCGCTTTCCAGGGAAGGTGGGTACCGGGAGGCGCCGCTTGCCAGGGCTGGGCTTCTGGTGGCCGGGTGGGTGCGGTTTGGGGCTTCTCACACAGCCAGCCTGAGTCAGCACCCGGTGTTAGACTGTCGGTCCGTCAAGGCCAGCGCCGGTTCTTCTGCAAAGCAGCGGGATGCTTCCAGATCTCCGGTGGGAAGCGGCCCCTCTTCACTTCGGACGGGAGGCACTGGGGATCGGGGCCTTCCGCATCCCCACAAATGCCCGGCCAGCCTTTGGAACGCAGAGCCCCTGCCCGGCGATCAGCAGGATTGTGTGAACCCAGCAAACTTGGGTCCTGCGATGGTGAGGCCGTTCTCGCCCAGCCCGTGGTCTGTCAGAGGGTCGCTCTAGCCCTGCCCTTCAGGTTTGCACAACAGGGCAACCCGCAAGTGGGGGCTGAGTGGCCAGAACTGATGAGCTGCGACATGTTGTCTGAACCCAGTCCCTGTCTAACGTCTGAAGCGGCCTTGAGATCAGACCATCTGTTTGGCCAAGTCTGAGCCTTGTTGTTTCTGGCTAGCAGCCACCTGCCTGCATTGCCGGCTTTCTGATAGCTTCTGCCCAGAAATGAAACTGCCCCTTCCTGCCTCAAAGCATATGCTCTTCTTCCCAGCCATGGCACCTTAAAAAGAAAACAAGATCCCAGTCCTCATGGTTCTGAATAAAAGGCCGGTCCATTGAGTTCCACAGGAATTATTGGCTGGCCGTTGCAGCGTCCCAAGGACTGAATGAGGGACCCTGTGGGCAGGGCAGGGCAGGACAGGTGTTCTCACACTGGCTGTGATCCGTTCCCGCTTGGGGGGCAGTTTTTTTGCTCTTAGCGGTGCCTCTTTTCCCACCCCCAGGGCAACAGGATCTGGAGTTCAGGGAGTCTTTCTGCATTCAACAGCAATCCAGTGAGGAACAGTAAGGAACAGCTGTCTGTCTGCCTGCCTTTTTGTCTGTCTGCCGGGGCACACGGCCGAGGAGCAGGGGCCCTCTCTGGTGCTTCTGCCTGCCGCTCTTGCTTCCACGAGGTGCACCCCATCCTCCCAGCCCCAAATCTCCACCTTGCAAGGAGCTTTTGGGGAGGGGGTAATGGCCATATCTTGCCCTACAGCTTCACAGGGGAACCTCATGGGGCCCCAGTCCTCCAAAGCCACTCTTGGCCTCAGCCACTGAATGCTTGGTACTTTCCCAGCCCTTGTTCACTTTTTCCCCTGTTCTAAGAGGTCGAAACACCTCTTCCGTGGTGTTAAAAGATGCTGAGTTTTTGTAGCTGACCACCCACCTTTTGTTCTTTAGCAGAACCACCTACCTTTGGCTTTTTCCTGAGCTGTCTTTTAATGTAATCGCTTTTTCTCAGCAATTATTTTAGTATTTTCCAGGCTGTGCATTGGGTTATTATTTACTGTTTGTTCCCTTTCTTCTTTTGTTTGGGTTTTAATCCTTGAATTTGCCTTGAGCTGTATTCTGAAAGGCGGCCTGAACATATTCTTAAGCCCCCAAAATAAATTTTTAAAAAAAGAATAGATGGAGGAAAGGCATTTCAAAATGGTGTCCTAAGTATTGCAGAAAGGGCTGGATCTGGAGGAAAGATTTGTTTTCCCCAATACTGTTGGATATTCCATTATTTTATTTATTTATTAAAAGGTTTTGTATGCCGTCCTATTATACAAAAACCTCAGGATGGTTTACAATATTTAAAAGAACAGTTAAAACAACAATTTCTAATAAAAAAATTTAAACAGAACAAAACAATAAATCCCAAAGAACAACTAAGGTTAAAAATGGTTAATTTTAAAATACCGTTTAAATAAAAAGGTTTTGGCCTGGTGCTGGAAAGAGTATAAGCTCGGCGCCAGGGGTACCTCTCTGGGAAGTACATTCCAGAGTCTGGGTGCCACGGTGGAGAAGGCCCTGCTCCGATGACCCTTTTTAGCTCTCCTAGAGAGGGTTCCCAGAGCAGGGCTTCTCTCGCAGATCTTAAGGGGTGTGAGGGCGTATAAGGAAGGGGACTTCCTTCAGGTATCCTGAAGATATGCCTGGTTAACTAGCTTATCTCCCACTCTGCCAACCTTTGAAGGTCCCAGGAGACGCTCAGTTTGGCTGACAAGGTCTTGCAGTTGGAATCAAAGCTGAAGTCACTTCAGGAAGACCTGCAGAGGGTGAGTGGGGAAAAGTCCACGGAGGCAGGGAACTGGGGCAGGCTTGACCCTTCCTATTTTCCCTGTTTTAAGATCTAATTGTTTTCATTGGGGTTTAATTGTCCGTTGAATTTTTTAGGACGCCGTGTCTTATTTTACATGTATGGTTAAACCATCCCGAGACTTCAGTAATGGGACAGTCTAGAAAAGTTTATTTTTTTAAAATAGATAAATAAATAAACTTCTCGGGTAGAGCAAGGACGGACGAAGAAAGGAGGATAAGGAAAAGAGCTTGGTCTTAGAGTCATGAACGAATTAGAGCAACGCTGGTTTTCCAGACCAAAATTACGGAGCTGCAGGGGGCAGGACGGCCCTCCTGCTGCGACCACTGTGCATTTCTCCCGTTTCTCTCTCCAGGAGAAGGCGGAAAAGGCGGCACTGCAGGCCGAGCTGCAGAGCCTGCAGGAGAAGCGCAGCGCCTGAAAGAGGTGTCGGAGATGGCAGCGGCCCAGCTTCACCAGCTCATGATGGGGCTGAGCAGCCGCGCCCCCTGTGGCTGCTGGGGCTCCCGGACCCTCCCCTCTGCCTTGGTGGCCGGAGAACAGCCGCCCGGCACGGCCACTCGCTAGATTTTCTGCGGGCACGGCGGAGACTCGGGACGAGTCGTGCCCTGCCGTCCACTCACGCGCTGCGGCTGGAGGCGTCGCTCCCCCACTGGCCTGGGGGGCACGGCTTGCTTCCTGCCCAGGCAAACTCTTGGGTCAAATCAGGCACGGGGCCGTCCCGTCTTCCGTCGCGAGGGGAGCCCTTTGGACCCGTTTGTGGGCATTTATCTGCCGAGACCTGCCGCCCACTTCCTTCGGGGGGCTCTGGCCCCCTCCTCAGTTTGTGCACCAGCCTGTCCCAGTATTCTAGAGTCGTATTGCCCCCCTAGCCACGGCGGGGGTCTTTTTGATGGTTGATGTTGTGTTGTTGGCAGGGAAGGTCCTCTTTTTCACTGGATTACCATTCTGAGCCCAGGACTTTTCTGGCCTGCCGGCACCAGCCAGAGAAACAGCTCAGCAAATAATTCTCTAGGCAATAATTGCAGATCGCCTCCGAGGCAGGGGAGACCGATCCCTGCCCCGTGTTGTTTAGTCTTAGCATGGGCAGAGGGGAGGTGGGCAGGGAAAAGCTGGGCAAGCCGCGAGGATCTCTCGGCGTTTTCTCTCTCTCCTCCTCGCCCGAACTTCAGCACTGATTTGGGCTGCGTGGGGTGCCCCCAGTGAGACGGGGGTCCCAGCCAGCACGCCCAATTAACTGTGAAATGTTTAAAAGCTGTAACACCCCCGTCCTTGTTCCTTCTTGCCCCGTCTGGTCCTCCTTTCTGTCTGCACTTGTAACTTATGAGTTCTTCCTAGACAGGGACAGACACTCCGTCCTGCTATTTATCTCACCCTCCGTGGTGCTATCCATTTTATTGTTTCCCACCATCTGAGCCTGCCCCACTTCTGAAAGATAAGGGCTTGGGCTGACTTTCTCCCTCGTTCAATTGTATCCCTGTGTTCCCTTCCCTCCTTCCCTCCTTCCAAGACCAAGGTTAAGGACAAGATGGTGAGAGGGGAAAGCCATCTCTTCATCTCGTCTTGCTCTCCTGTCTGTATCGGAACTGGATTTATGGGCTCGCACTGTCCTCCTTTGTGCAATAAACTTCTGTTCTGCAGCTCTGGTGTGAACTCGTCTTTCCTCTGTCCTGCCCCAGGTAAACTGAGGCCTGGGGGACAGGCGTGGACCAGGGTGGGGAAGCGATGGAAGGGGACAGGGGAGGAAGGCCGTCTCGGTTTCTTCTGGAAAAGCCGCACCCTCCGCATGTGCGGGGAAGGCGGAACGGAAGCCACTTCCTCGCTTTGTCTGGACTCGCTCTTGGGAGAGCTGCATTTAGTGGTTTTGTTTCTTCCTTTGGGGACATATAATTAGAAGGGGCTAAAGCTTCGCTTTGGCGGAATCTCGCTCCCCGCAGCCGATCTTTCTCGTGGATGCTTTCTTTTTCCCTCGGCCTCCACCCATCTCCCCTGCTGCTTCACCCACGCCTACGCTGCTTTTTCGTACCTGGGCATTGCTTCCCTGTTTCTGCCTCCAGCCCACTCTCTGCTCCGCTTCTCAGAGAACCTCGTCCGCTCAGCGCCTCTTTGCCAAGGTCGCATGACCCGGAGGCCTAAACCTTTGGGAAATACTGATACCCAAAGAGGGAAATGTCCTTTTTTTAAGGGGATGGTGGAAATATTTTGCAATAATTTAAAATAGCAAGCAGTTCTTTTAAAGTGCTCTTTACATTTCTAAAGGACTTTCTAACCTTGAAAATAACTTGTATCGTTCATAAATTATCCTTAAAATTCAAATCACTTAAAAGAAAACTCGGTGCATTTGCAATTATTCTCTGACTGAGCTATGTGTTTAAATGTAATTTACCAGCCATGATTTTTTTATGACCAAACCAAGTTTCATATATTCATATTTTAGATGACTATTTTATGGCTGAGGAGAGAGAACTCCAGCCAGGAGTCTCTGAAACATCCAAATTATGTGAAAGCTTTTCTCTTTTCCTTGCAAAATGATTACTTTTGTCTCTCTGATTTGCCGATTCAGAATATTTCAGAATATCTGTTTGCTAATGTTTGTTTGTTTGCTTTCCCAGCAGCTGAGCCGAGGAGGGTGGGACACGCATACCTGTGCACGGATGCACGTGCATGTACACGCATGCACGCTTATGGAAACAGCGCATTACATGGATGCTACCGAATGGATGGCAGCTGTTTCTTAAGAACTGGAGGTGCTACTATTGTTGAGTTTAGGGGTACAGGGAACCCTTTTGGAAAAGAGGCCCTTCGCAGTCACGCAGGTCTCTGAGCTGGGCCACGGTTTTTGTTCTGCCAGCTGGAAGGAATCGACTTAGCGGAAACTGGACTGACTTCAGTTGTGGGTTGTGTACGTTGCCTCAGAGTTCCTGTGAAGGAAAGGATGCGCTTGTGCGAAGGATTTGGGAGGCGGCAGCTACGTTTGAGGTTTAGGATCTGTGTGATGCGCAGAAACAAGGTTTTGTCCCAGCCCACAAAGGGCTGCTCCTGAGAATTTATTTATTTTTCGATTTATATCCTGCCTTTTTCCCGCAAATGGCTCAAGGCAGCTTACAGCATTCTCCTCCTACATCTTCCTTCTTATCCCCACAACAACAACCCTGTGAGGTAGGTTGGGCTGAGCGTCTGTGACTGGCCCAAAGTCACCCAGTTGGCTCTGTGGCTGAGCGGGGACTCGAACCCGGATCGCCTGAGTCCCAGTCCCGTGCTCTTAACTCCAACACCACGCCAGAATGGGACATTTTGCATGATGCTGCGTTCCGTTTTCGGTGAACGCACAATTCTTCTCTGTGGGATGCTGTCACTGGTTAAGAACGTCTGTGGAAAAGGAAGTCCTTTTCAGAAGAGTTGTGTTGGTGGGAGAATGAAGGATGGGTTGATTTCGGACTTGCAGAATCCGTGCCTTGTTTTCTGGAGCCCTGAAATCTCCCCAGCCGTGGTGCAAAAGGCCACATCCTTCAGATTATTTTCTTTGTCAGAAGGGGCCGCCTGGGCCATCTAGTCTGATCCCCGGCTCCAGCCAGATTAAGTAATGCTGAGCTCAGGAATTGGTTCAGGGAGTTGGGACTGAGCTTATGAGCCATCTACCAACTTTCTCCATTTCATCAATATCATCCTGTGTTGAGATGGGGGAAGTTGCCTTGTTTTTCCTGTGGTTTGACAACCAGGAGTCCTAAATCCTTGCTCACCAAGTGTCCATTTCCCAGGGTTTTCCAGGTAGATCCTGATCTTTTCCTGTGTCCCCCAAACCCACCCCAACCCTCTGCTGAAAGGACCCACGCTGGCAGAATCCGTTCTTCACCCAATGGAATGGAAACTTCGTCTACACGAGATAATCCCATAAGAAAATTGAACCTAGAGCTGTGCAAGGAGAGCGTCTCAGACCCACAGGGTCTGCCTTCTCCCAAAGGAAGCTTTGCAAGGTGTGCGTCTTTTAGAGAAAAGGGCTAAAACAAAGCCTTGGAATGTAAGCAAGGAGCTTTTCCCACAAAGTCCAAAAGCATATCTGAGTTTTGGAAACAAACCGGTGAGATGAGGGGCGTAATTCGTGGTGTGTATTCTCTTTCTGCTGCTGTTCTTAGAATGCAGTCCAGTGTTGAAATGTGAGAAGAGAGCTGTTAGAAAGTGTTTATGGCAGGAAAGAAATGTAACCAAAGGAAAATATTCAAGAGCAACAGGAAAATTCTTACATGTGTATTCGAGCTGCTGTCAGTAGGCCTTTTAAGCGGGTGTAATTTCTCCTGAAATCCACAGGTGAGGTTGGCTACGGAGAATAATAGATTTCCCAGATCTGTCCAGGTGATCTCTACAGGTGTGCATGTTTAGAAAGAAAATAGACTGACAGCTCAAAGCCTTCCCCAGCTAGTCTGCCTAAGAATTGAATTGTAGCTAGAAACCGATCAAAAGGTTTGTATTTTTTTTCACTGTACGTTTCTTAGCTCAAATCCAGTTGAAAATCATGAGAGAAAGACGTATTAAAGACCCGAGGTTGGAAAGTCCCTGTTTGGGGGGGCGGGGGTGATTTTGAATGATCTCTCCCATCCAGAAGAGACTATAAATTGAAAATTTAGAGCATCTCAGACCAAGCTGAGCTAGCCCCCCCCCCCACAAAAAATCCTTTATTTCTTAAATGGGGGAGCAAACAACTAACCCCACACCCCCTGCAACCTGAAGACAGATGGCCCAGGCTGGCCTCACATGAATTTTGATCTTTGTCATTGATTTCCAACATTATGGGTGGCTGTCTCTGAAACCAGTAGATCAGATAAATCTGACATACTGCATTTCAAGTCAAAATTGATTTGGAAGGAAAATGGTTTTGTGAAGCACAAACGGAACTTTCCACAAATGCACAGAAACAAGACTGAAGGCAGATTTAATTATTTCTTTTGTAAAAACACTCCGTTTATTATCACAGATTAGCACCACCTGGTTAAGACCCCTTCCGATGATCACCCACCCCAAAGTCAAACCGTGGTGGTGCTGGGAGGCGCATGCTTCCAGGGCCATGGGGGTCCCGGTCGAGTTGGCCGGGGGACGAGGCCCACGCGTCGAGAGAAGCGGTTCCAAGCACACCGTTTCTGCTGGAAACGATGGAGCAGCTGGTCCTTTTGGCCTTCCTGATCTCAGTCCGGCTTGGCAGGATATCTGGGCCGCTCGCGATTCGGTTGTGCGATGCAGAATCAAAGAGTGCAAATCGGCCCGGCTTGGAATGCCGATCGGGTTGTTCCAGGGCGTGGAGAGGCGTGCGGTGGAGCGAGGCCCGTGGGGCCGGTGGGGGTCGTGGAGTGCGGGCCCACGTCTGGGGACCAACGATGCCTCCCTGCTCAGCTCTCCCTGGTGCCCCGCTGGCCGCGCTCGCCCCGGTGCCGCCCGGTGCGCGGGGTCCCCCTCAGAAGGGCTTCTTCGGCCAGGAGCCGCTCTGCGGGCCCCGGTTGCGGTGCAGCTGCTGGCTCTCAGAGAGCACCGGCCCGGTGGCCGTGTGCAGCGCCAGGTGCTTGCCCAGGTATGCGCGGCGCCGGAAGCGCCTGGGGCAGTGGGAGCAGCGGTAGCTGCCCTCGGGGGCTCCGGGGCGCGGCGGGGCGGGGCCGTCCCCGGCCGGCGGAGGGCACTCGTTCTCCTTGGTGCCCCCGGCGTGGCCGCCTGCGCGGGGCTTGTGCCAGCGGCGGTGCGAGGCCAGGTTGGCTGGGCAGCTGAAGGCCTTGCTGCACTCCTGGCAGCGGTACTCGACGCGGGCGATGCGGGCGCAGCAGTGCTGGGCCAGGGCGAGCGGCCCCGGGAAGGCCTCCTGGCACAGCTGGCACACCAGGGCGCCTGGCGGGCCCCCCGCCTCGGGGGCCGGCTCCGCGGGGCCCCCGCCGGCTCTCCTGGCCGCCGCCGCACAGGCCGAGCCAGAGCCGGGCAACAGCGGGGCGCAGGAGGGGGCGGACGCCCCCGGCACGGGCGACCCGGAGCCGGGCCCCCGGCCGAGGCAGCCGGGCAGCAGAGCGGCGCTTACCAGGTGTGGCGGGTTCTGCGCCCAGTCCTGGGAGCCCAGTGGCCCCCCGGCCTTGGGCCCCTTCCTGGGGGCCGCGTCCGTGGGCAGTGGCGCCAGCAACACGTGGTCCTCCTGGGGCGGCCTGATCCGGTAGGAGATGGGGCTCTGGCGGCGCATCCTCTTCACCAGGAACCCGCGGGGCATCCTGAGGGCGGCTGGGCTGCGGGGCTCGGTGCGGGGCTGGGGACGCTGGGCTGGGAGCGCCGCCGGCTGGTGCTGCTGGGCTGCGGCCGCCGAGGCTCTTCCCGCACACGGCTTGCAGCGGAGGGCTGTCCGGCCAGCGCGCTCCCTCCGAGTCCTGCTCCCGGGGCTCTGCGCGCCCCCTCTCCCCGCCGCACGCAGCCGGCCGCCCCCATATAAAGGCCGGGCCGCTATTGTGTGCCCAGGGGCTGCAGATGGCTGGTGTGGGGCAGCCAATGGGCGTGGGGCTGGCTGCGTGGCGGAGGGTCCCGTGGGGGTCGGCAGCAGATGGCAGCTCCGGGCTGGCGCGTGGGGCCTGCCATTATGCAGGTGGGGGCAAAGCAGTGGCACACGCCGGGGCTTCCACAATAG